AAGATTGAATGGTTGAGTCAGCTGATCGGAGATTAATGTTTATGTGGAGATTAAATATGTTTTGTTTATGGTTATTGTTGCTTTTGGTGTGTGTATCATAATAGGTTATTATAATTTTTCTTCAAGTATCTGAGTTTTGGGATTCTGTTTATTAGATTGGATTATAATTTTAAGTTGATATTAAGCGGTGGTTTTGTTTTTTACAGCGTTTGAAAACGTTCTGCTCTTGGGTTTTGAAACATTTGCGTTCGTCTTCCAAGATTTTTTGTGCCAAAGGTGAGTGATTTAAAATTTTTGGATTGTCAGCTTAAAATTTATGTGCCTATTTTCATTGCAGGTTCAAATTATTCTAAAACCATGTTTATGGAAGAAAAAATTATTCTAAAACCATGTTTATGGAAGAAAAAACAAGCTCCCAACTAGGAAACCCAATGAAGGTAGTACTCTTTTATTTCTTGCTCAACTTGCTTAAAAATGATTTCCTAACCATTATTATTTAGGAAAACTAATGAAAATGGCTTGAAAACTTTGAGTTTTAATGATAAGGACAAAATAAAGGGTAAAGTGAATAGTAACAGGATTGACTTTTTAGTGTAAAAATATGGTTTTTCGTTAAAGTGAATAGTACCGGGTGCTTTTCGTTAAAGTTCTGTTTTTCATTTATTTGTTTACAATTTGAACAAATTCTTAACTTTTACTGTAACCATAATTGATACCCATTTTAATTCACTTTCTGCTAATAATGTTTCAGTCTTTTTCCATATTTCACACTCGATTGTTAATGTGAATTCAATATGCTGACCTTTATACATTATAAACTGTTGTATGCATAATATTTCATCAAGGTCAAACTTTAGTTTCTTTGCACCGTATTTTCTGTTACCTAAACCTCAGTACTTATTTTAATTACAGTGGAAGTGATTGAAAATTATTGAGAATTAGTATCTACATACCGAAAGAAATAGATTGAAAATAACATTATTTGGTAGTAAAGAAAATTAGGGTTTCAATTAAAGTATGCAGGAGGAGGAGGAGGAAGACCTTTGGAGCAAACTCCAACTATGGCAGTCGTCGATGTTGTTTTGTTTTGGTTTTGGTTTCGGTTTCGATCCGCATCAAATATTTCATTCATTTAATTGGAAAGGTTTCCTTTCACACGTAATTGGATTAATTTCATCTTATGTAGTCACTTTCGGGTTTATTATGAATGCGAATTGAGGTATTTTGATTAAATTTTAATTGCACTCCTTGCAGTGGTTGACAAAAAGAAACAAAAGAGCTCTCTATGAAGCTCTTGATAATATGGTATTAGGGCTCCTATCTTTGTTTCTAACAGTAGGACAATACTGCATTTCAGATATAGTACTTCGAAGGCTGTTGGAGCAACTTGGGACGCATGCAACAATAAGAGTGGTGCTTGAGATGACAACTCCGGCAGAAGGCTTCTCTCAGCCTTGGATTCCAGTGGGGGGTGGCTGATATGAGCTGCTGGACATGACAAGGGGTGTGCTATCCACACATCTTATTTTACTTCTCACACACCCCTTGATAATTTCTGTCCGTTGATCTTCTTCAATTCATCCGATCTGACAGTTGAATATTAAATGGTGTGTGAGAAGTAAAATAAGCCCCATATGACAAATGTGCAACCTAGGTATGTCCAAATACATATACAATATTGTATATGTATAGTTTTCATAAAATTGTTGAGCATTGTGAGTGTGCATTTTGTTTGTAGAGAGTGAAGAATGTACCGTTCACAAAGGCAAAATAGGGAACAACAACTACTTCATATGGGAATAAGAGGTTAGTTTAATTGTAATTATTTTTTTTATTTGGTTAAATTCGAAGTTGGTTGGCTTGCATCTAATTCGGTCGTTTGCTTGCATAGGTTGAAGCCACTAGTTTTATTAATGCTAGTAATCGAAATCAATCCAAGTTAATGTGAAAACGATATCATTATTTTTGTTATGGTGAGAACTGATTTAAATTAAGAAATTGAATTACTTTTTTTATACCTCTTTTGTGATTATTTACTGAGAATTTGTTAATTGTTTTAATATCTATGAGGTAGGATTTCTACGTTCATTTCTCATCTTTAGAGATTGTTGAATTTCTACATTCATTTCTCATCTTTAGAGATTGCTGGATTTCATATTGTCGAATAGTTTATGGATTTTCATATTAAGTGCTTCAATATGTTGTTGCAGTAATTCAATTAGATGTGATATAAGTTGATGTGTTTATACCTTTAAAGATAATTTTTCACACAATTTCTAATCTTACAGCAATGCGCGGGCAAAACTTTCTAGTTAATACCAATTAATCTTAAGTTAAAAAACCAGATACATGCATAGACTTGACCAACAACAATATTAAGTAGACCAACTAGCCTTTTGATAATCAAGTACTATAGTAGTAGTGGTCGTCGCTTCCTTCGCTCCAAGGGTTGTGATATCTCTTCATTGGAAAATATCTCAGCTTAAATTCACAATAATGCAACCATTATATATATATATATATGGGTTAGGATCCGATGACACATTTATAACATACATTTTTGTGAGGTCCACTCTCTACATTTTACCGTAGTGACGGAAAGTAATATTGTCTATATACATTCTAGTGCTAGTTCGATCTCCACCAATCTTCATGTTTCCTTAAAGGACTTGCTAGAGAGAGAGAGAGAGAGAGAGAGAGAGAGAGAGGTGCTATGAGTTTAATACAAGTTGTGGAATTGGCTCAATTGTTGTAAGATATTTTTATTTTAGATGTTTGCCTTGTAAAAGTATCTCATATAAATATCCTATCGTCTTTCTTTTTAAGACGTTGGCCTCAATATATGAATCTTTTGTTTTTTCCATTGGCTATAAACAAAGAGCAGTTTAAGAGTCTTTTAATACAGATATCGGCAAGCATCTCCTTAATTCATATTTCGATCTGTAAGGGAAAAAAAAAACATGTTTTGAATTCTGATATATATATTCTTTTAAAACGAAAACACGTTTTGGGTTATTTGAGAGACAAAACAACAATATTTCCTGAATTAAACGGTATGGGGAAGTGATAGTTACATCTCACCCAATAAGTCATGCAGCTGTAGACTGTAGGATCAATGCAAAATGCAAAATTACCCATACTACTCTCTGGATCACAACTGAACTGATTTTAGATATATGCATCGGTGGGGGTGCCAGGAATGATAACTGAGTCACGTCGCATTGGCCTTCAAATCAAGTCACTCTGTATTCATGTATTACTCTAATTACCTGCGCAATTCATCGTCTCGGATGACTTAATTAGCTTTAATTTGAAATGCTTTTATGGTGTTTTGGATGACTTAATATTTTTACACTAAGGGGAGAGGGAGTTCGGCTAAGCCACACAATGAACAACTTAATTTGGTATCGAATTCGCAATCCACGAGATTCACACCTAAGACCTCTCACTTCAAAGTGAAGAGGAATACTAGTACCAAACCATAGTACGCTTCCTGCAAAAAGTAACAGTTATGTGCATTTTGCTGGAAATACTTCAAGTGTTGTTCCAAAATTTACTTGTCTTTTGCTAAGGATTTGTTCCAAAAAAAAAAAAAAAAAAAATTTGTACTCATTAATGTGTATAAAATGATTTCCAATTTTTATTCTTAAATGTATCCATTCCTATAATTTTCTTACTTTTTTATCTTAAATTTACATTCTTAAATATACCAATTTGTTATATATATTTTTTTTAAATGTAAACCGTTCCCATTTATTTTATGTAAATTCCATTCACTTTTTTTTAATCCATTTTTAAACTTATAGGGTACAATTCTTCTTCGTTGTTTTTAAAATGTATCTATGTCAAGTTTATTTGAAGAAATTTATTAATTTTATTAAGCCTAATGTTTTATTATTATTTTTTTGTAGTTTTGAAGAATGTGTGCATGTTTTTAGTTTGAAAAATCTACTAAACGTTTTATGTTATAATAAATTTTTGCTTAATTTTGATGAATGTACCCATGTTCATATATATATATATATGTATGTATATATGCATACTTTTTATGGAAAAACATGATTTTCTATTGATTTTGAATTTTCTTCCATGAGGTGGAGGATAAAATTTCTTTTAATATTTTCAATCTCACAAATCATGAGTTTTATTTTAAAATCTCATTAATATTAGCAACTCAAAATTTCAATTTTAAGGGTTCATGGTAGTTTTTTTAGTTAAAAAAATATCAAATAAAAAAAGGAAAAAAAAAAGAAAATGAAATGAAAAAGTTAAAAAATATAATAACCGACATGGAAATAATTAATACATTAATGTCATGAACTTCAATAAAAAAACTAATAAGGTTTTAGTAAAAAAACATTAGTAGTTAGAAACTATATGCGAAATCTCCCATAATTTTATAACCCAACTTTTTAACGGAGTACCAATTACATCATAAAATTATAGTCCATCAAAATCGATTTATTATAGTTACATATGCATATGTTAGCAAATCTTGTGAATCACAAGTTTTGATGGCAATTCTTATCTGTTATATATCTTTTTGCCGAAAATTGTCAAGGAAAATTAGAAATATGTTGGGCAGAATGATCTAACTTTGTTAGGGTATTTTGTAAACTGCCCCAAGAAAATGTCATGCTGCAAACGTGACATCAACCAATAACCACCATCTATGACCTAACGATGGCTTCAACAAATTGCAAGGTACCCAAAAACTTCTGCTATTACATTTTAATAACATTAATTTACTAGATCTGAGCATTTGAGGCCTCTAATCCCCTCTTTCTCTGTGGACTCATCTGGTATTTCAGTCACTCTCTCAGTTACTTTGTTTTGGACTTTCTAGATAAATCCCCTTGTCTATCTTCTTCCTTCCTTTACCTTTCTCTTCTCTTCTAGAATACTACTATAACAACGCTCCCAAAATATGTTGCTTTGTAAAAACTCCAAAACAAAAATAAAATAAAATTTAGGACTAATATTATTCCTAAGAAATCATCGACATTACACTTTCTCTCTCTTGGTGGTACCCATTGATTTATGTATATAGGATCAGGATCCTCTCCTGAGCTTAGGAGGCTGAGCTTCCTGAGTAAATCATACGGGCCATTGATTTTTGATCTAACGGCTACAAATAGAGGGCCATTCCAAAAGTTATAATAATTGTAACCGTTGGATCAAAAATCAACGGCACGATTGATTTGCTCAGGAGGCTCAGCCTCTTAAGCTCAGGAGAGGAGAGGATCTTGATCCATGTATATATTCCCTCTTTGGTCTCTTCTCAATTCTCTAGAAATATATACAAGCCAAGCCATTTTTCCAACACAAAACCATTCTCCATTCTTCTCTAAACTAGCCAATAAGCCTAAAACCTTCATTTCCTCATCATTTCTTCAACAATGGAGGACGAAAATTACGTTGAGAATATTCCTCGTTATCGAGATCAATCAGAAGAAGAAGAAGATGCAGAAGAAGCACTCTCTCTCAGCGACCTTCCACTAGACAATATCCACGAACAAGTCAACGAAGTCCACGACAGGTCCTCCAAGCACCTGCACACTCGCCGTTCTTCAGCCGATCAGTTTTTCGAGTTCTTCAGCGACTTCAGCTCCGACAGCTTCATGTGTTCAGCCGAAGATATCATCGTCTGCGGGAAACTCATACCCTTCAAAGATCACACAAATGAAGCCCCTAAGACGACATGTACTAACAATGGTTATCACAAAAAAGATTCATCTTTTCGAAGGCGGTCAGAGTCGCTGCCTGGGTTACAAAGTTCGGTAGCACGATCAAGCAGCACAAAGAATCAGATCATGATGAGGAACAGCAGATCCTTGGATTATCAAAAGCTTCACCGGCAATCTTCGATGGTATCCCCGACCCCGGCAGAGATGGAGAGGAATTCTTCCACGAAGAGTGTTGGAAAATACGATAAGAAGAGTGGTAACAAGCCAAAGTGGTTTTTTCTCATGTTTGGGATTGTGAGGTTTCCGTCTGAGATGGACCTAAGCGACATCAAGAACCGGCAGATTCGACGAAACCCATCCACCACGCTCTTCCGGAGTGAAGCCTCTGACAATCGGAGCTCCGAAAAGGGCTCCTGGAGACTGCTCAGGGCATTGAGCTGCAAGGACCATGCAAGTGTTGCTGTAACGCCGCCGTACTGTACACAAGTGTGAGAGGCTATTTCTGATCACGTGCCATGCACTGTAATATCATATCCCTAGTCCCCCTAGCTAACCCATGAATATGATTATATGATTTTAGGTAAATATTCTTTTGTCACATTACGTTAGTAAATTGTCATTTGAATCACACATTTAAACAAGGATTTATTGAATCAACGGTTCATACTGACAATTTATTAACTAACGTGGAAGACTAGGTCACCATAGAACTTTTCTTATGATGATTTGTTTTGCATGACAGGGGCAAAATGGTCATTAAAATTCTGGATTTGTTTGGACGTGAGGATAAATTAATATAATTATGGTTTATGACGTTCCGTAGAAGCAAAGGGGTGTACAGTAGAAGAGCCATGGTCGACGATGGCGCCCCTCCATCTGCTTATTAATTGAGGATGAAGAGAAGCAGGTTTTGTTGTTTGGTGGCCACATAAAATGAAATTAATGAATACCACGAGAATCCGATTACGACATTAAATTCTTGTGTTTTTGTTTTTATTTATTTTTGTATTTATTCATTGTAATGTTAATTCTTTTGTGTTGCTCATAATAAATATATCGGTTTGTGATAGAACCTTAACTTTGCATCTTGATTTCTGTGTAGCACTAACGAGTAATTTTCTATTGCAATTAACAACAAATACAACAACAACAACCCTTTTTCCGTTTACAACCCTTCCTAATATAGTAGCTAGTTAGCTTCCTCCGTAAGCTTACTACTAACAACCTTATCCTTTTAACCACACATATCTATCCTAACCAGCACTAATACAATGCTCACTTATCAACCAATTTAGTTATCACACATGATCCTATCAATACCCCCCCCCTCAAAACAAGGCTTGTATACAAGACTTAAAAAATAGAAAATTTTGCAAAATACAATGTATTAAAGCTGAGCAACTCCTGGAAAACGCAGCTTCAAGTCTGAGTAAGTCTCCCATGTAGCTTCTTCTGGAGTATGATTTTGCCAATGTACCAACACTTCTGTAATTGCAGTTGTACCCTTCTTCACCATTCGTCTGTCCAAAATAGCCACAGGAACATCTTGTAAAATACCATCATAGTTAGCACATGTAGTTGAATCGTAGGTTGAATAGCAGCCCCTAAATGTTTCTTAAGACAAGAAACATGGAACACTGGATGAATCTTAGAGTTGTCTGGGAGTTTCAACCTATAAGCAACAGAACCCACCTGTGCTAACACTTCACCATAAAACCGAGGCTGCAACTTGTGAAATGGGTGAGAGGCCAATGACATATGCTGATAAGGTACCAGCCTCAGATAGACTAAGTCACCCACCTCAAAAACTCTTTCAGTTCGATGCTTATTAGCCTGTACTGTCATTTGATTTTATGCTGCTGCTAAATTGGCCTTCAAGAGGGATAAAACACGATTTCTTTTCAACAAACATCAATCCACCATTTCCAATTTAGTAGTACCAGCTTCATACACGGGAATCTCAGGTGGTGGCTGACCATACACCACTTCAAAAGGGCAGAGTTTAGTAGCAGAGTGATAGGCTGTATTAAAGCTCCACTCTGCCCACGGTAACCAAAGGGTCCATTTTTTGGGTTGAAGACTACAAAAACACCGCAAGTAAGTTTCCAAACACCAGTTTACCACCTCTGTTTGGCCATCAGTTTATGGGTGATAGCCGGAGCTGAAACATAGTGAGGATCCGTGTAATGAAAAAAATTATTTCCAGAACTTGCTCATAAAAACCGGGTCTCTATTACAGATAATAGATCCAGGCATGCCATGAAGTTTAAAAATATGCTCCACAAATAAAGTTGCCACCGAAGTTGCAGTATAAGGATGAGATAGGGGTAAAAATGGGCATATTTGGATAAGCGATCCACAACTACCCAAATGACAGTTTTTCCTTGACATGGAGGTAGACCAATGATCAAATCCATGGATATGTCAGTCTAGGCCCGTGAAGGAATAGGCAAGGGCTGTAGCAATCCTGCAGGAGCTAAGGTCTCGTTCTTGTGTTGTTGGCATATCTGACAGTTGGCAACCCTGTCCTTAATGTCGTTTTTCATGCCAACCCAATAAAAAGACCGAGAAAGCCTCTTCTATGTCTTAAAAAATCCAGCATGACTAGCAACAGGACTGCTATGATGTTCTTCGAAGACTTTCTGTCGCTATGAACTTGTAGGACTCAAAACAATTCTCCCTTTGTATCTTATAAACCCATTCTCAACATTAAACTTCAAGGAATTCAGTGATGTAGAGTCGGAAGGATGTAGGACTTCCTGAATCTTGTCTAGTATCCAAGCATCTTGTTTAGTGTGACGTCTTAAATCATCTAACCAACTGAGACGCGGGTATGAAATTGCAGCCAATTCCATACTATAATGTTGAGAAACTTCGTCAATAGGAATTCTGGAAAGTGCATCTGCCACCTGATTATCACAGCCTTTCTTATATTGAATCTCGTAATCAAAACCAAGCAATTTAGACACCCATTTTTGCTAAAATGGAGTATTGGCCCTATTTTGCAAAAAGTATTTTAGACTATGATGATCTGTTTTGATGATGAAGTGTCTCCTTACCAAGTATGACTGCCATTTTTTAATGGCATGTATGATAGCCATCATCTCCCTTTCATAAGCAAACAAGTTTTGGTTCCTTACACTGAGTGCCTTACTAGTAAAGGCAATAGGTTTGCCACCTTGCTGGAGGACAGCTCCAATTCCAAAGCTTGATACAGCACTTTCGATAACGAAAGGTTGGGAAAAATCCGGTAGGGCTAGGACTTATGGAGACAACATAGCCTGTTTCAGTTCCTTGAATTCTGCATTTGCTGAATCAGACCACTTGAAATTGTCTTTCCTGGTGAGTACTGTGAGAGGACTAACAATCTTGCCGAAACCAGGAATAAATTTCCTATAATAGCTCATCAATCCAAGAAATCCTTGCAATGCTTTAATGGAAGTGGGAATAGGCCACTTAGCAATAGCCTTCAATTTAGAAGGATCAGTTGCAACCCCTTCTTTAGATACTATATGGCCCAGAGACTCCACTTGGGTTTGACCAAAAGCACACTTTGTTTTCTTGACAAACAAGGTATGGCCTTGCAAAAGTTGAAAGAGCACTCTCAGATACTCCAAATGAGACTCCCAAGACTTGCTATACACTAATATGTCATCAAAAAATACTAGGATAAATTTCCGAAGATAAGGTTTGAAAATTTAGTTCATAAGACATTGGAATATGGCCAGAGCATTGGTTAACCCAAAGGGCATAACCAAAAACTCATAATGCCCATCATGAGTTCGGAATGCAATCTTCTCAATATCACTTGGATGCATTCAAATTTGATGGTAGCCAGATCACAGGTTTAACTTAGAGAAAAACTGGGCTCTATACAACTCATCCAGCAACTCATCAATTAGCGGAATGGGAAATTTGTCCTTAATAGTGATGAGATTAAGGCCTCTATAATCTATACACATTCTCCAAGTGTCATCCTTTTTCCTTACTAAAATAACTGGAGAAGAATAAGGACTATTACTGACCCTGATAAAACCAGCATTTAATAATTTACGAACACACTTTTCAATTTCTGTTTTCTGTAAAGGACCATATCTGTAAGGTCTCATACTAGGTGGTTTACTTCCTTCTATCAAGGGAATTCTGTGGTCATGTGATCTGTGATGAGGCAAACAAGTAGGAGCAAGAAAAACTACCTCATTATCTTGTAGAAGTTGTTCCAACTGATGAGATTGAATTGCAGACAGTACAGTCTTATGTTCCACCATGTCTTCTTGTTGAATTTGAAAGAGAAAAGCACCCACAGAAGATTCTTGGTGAAGCAACTTTTCCATGGGAAAGATAGAAACATCCTGAATATGTTTATTGATGCACAAAACCGGACGTCTTGGAACAACGTAAATCCGACCGTGAATCTGCATGAAATGTAAATAAGACAAGATGTATCGTGGTTCACCCCAAGGTTTGGGCTACGTCCACACTGATTATATTGTATTTCTTTGAGAAGTGAGGGAGAGAGCCTCTGTAATATAAGAGGGGATGTGAGAGGGGTGAGAAGGCTTAGGAATGGCCTCCGAGGGTGAGAATGAGCCCCCCCCTAATTGTGAGGGTGAGGGGTCCTTTTATAGAATAAGGACTCCTCACTTATCACATATTTGCCCCTGCCTTTATCACATAATTACATCTAAGTCCCCCGAGTATTTGTACGAGATCTAAATACGAGGCCCTAAATATGGTATAAACAGTAGTCCCCCAAGTCTTCAGTTAAGATAGTCTTTTGGCTGAAGACTTGAAATTCAGTCCATGTGTGGGTCGAAGTAACTAGATGCTATCTTGAACTGATGCTTGATATGAGGCAGTGCTCAATCTGAAATGATGCTCAACTAGAAGTAGCACACGCTGTGAGGTTGCTCAGCTCGTGGCTTATGTTGTCTTGGTTGGCTCGGTTTACGGCGTTTGAAGGTAAGGGAGTCCCTTTTATAGAATAAGGGCTCGCTCCTCAATACACGAATGATGGGCTAGAGTTGATGCTCTCTAATGATGGTGAGGGAGTCACTTTTATAGAATAAGGGTTCGTTCCTCAATACATAAATGATGGGCTAGAGTTGATGCTCGATGCGGGACGGTTGCTCAGTAGGCGGTGATGCTCTTTAATGGTGGTGAGGGAGTCCCTTTTATAGAATAAGGGCTCGCTCCTCAATACATAAGTGATGGGTTAGGAGTGATGTTCGCGTCGAGGCGGTTGCTCAGCTGGCGGCGTTGCTCTCTAATGATGGTGAGGGAGTCCCTTTTATAAAATAAGGGCTCACTCCTCAATACATGAACAATGGGTGCTCTCTAATGAAAGTGAGGGAGTCCCTTTTATAGAATAAGGGCTCGCTCCTCAATACATAAATAATGGGCTCAGTCCCCCAAGTATTTTTCATGAGGCCCAATTGAGGCCCAATATATGGTACATAATGTAGTCCCCCAAGTCTTCGGTCAATAGAGTCTATTGGCTGGAAACTTCAAATTGAATCCATGTATGGGCCGAAGTGACGGTTGTTCGGAGGCGGTATTTGTATACCCTACACTGAAGCTTTGTAGGTGAAGCTCTGCAAGTGAAGCTTTGAAGCTAGAGCTCTGTAAATGAAGCTTTTGAAGCTGGAACTTTTGTAAATGAAGCTTTTGAAGCTAGAGCTCTGTAAATGAGGTTTTTTGAAGCTAGAGTTCTGTAAATGAAGCTTTTGAAGCTAGAGCTCTGTAAATGAAGCTTTTGAAGTTGATTGACATGAGTGATGCTCATGAATATTTATGTTGATTGACATGAGTGATGCTCATGGATGTTGTCATGAGTGATGCTCATGAATGTTAACATGAGTGATGCTCATGAATGTTGACATGAACGATGGTCATGAATGTTTATGTATGATTGTCATGAGTGATGCTCATGAATGTTTATGTATAATTGACATAAGTAATGCTCATGTATAATTTGGAGTACTGGGTGTACTTTTGATTACCTGTTTGGTGGCATGAAGGAAAGTACGGGTTGTGCATGTCATCACCTGGTTGGTGGCATGAATGGCTAGTTGCCAAATGATATTTAGAG